CATTCCACGTCAGCAATACAGGTGGAAGGAAAACCATTTTAAATTGAAACCACAATAAAATTCAACATTCCTCATTTTGAAAATTCTAGACCGAATAAGGGTAAAAGATTTACTCATTTAAAAGACGCTCGTGAACCAGTCAGGTTTTTACAATAATCCAGCAAATTTAAAAGGTAACATTGACTGTTACCAGACTTTTGTAGAATTAAAGAGTACCAATTATTTTAATTCTCACCTTTATATTTTTAACCAAGGATTCTGGATTACTGGTTAAAACAAATGCGTCCTCAGTGATTAGGAAGTGCTTTTGAACACCCTGAAGTTGTAAAAAATACCATCAATAAGACTGGTATTCCTACCACCAGAACGTTGCCCAAACCTGCATATTTCAGTTTTCATGCTGCTGAAACATCACTCATACCCTTCCTGCCTGACTTGATTATCCCAGCGCACTTCTGGACTGCCTCCCAATTCTCTCCTGTAAATTTGAGGTCATCCACGTGTGACTGTTCAAGTCCTAACTTATACAGAGCCGTTTTCCCAACACCTAATGTTCAGTGACCTACGCTAGTTCGTGGTTTAACAATGTGCCAAATTTAAAATTCTCATCCTTATTTCCAAATCCCTCTCGGGTCTCTTCTATCCTCATCTCTTCCAGCTCTGCAATCCTCAGATATATCTGCACCACTCCAATTCTGACCTCTTGATCAAATGGATCAGTTTCTAAGGAGTATCTCACAGCAAGAAACTGAGTTGAAGAACTTCACAAAGTGAATCCCAGAACTTGGAACCAAAGCAGCTGAAGTTAAAGCTAACAGAGGCTCAGTAATTAAAACCAGGGATGCTCAAGAGGCCAGAATTAATGCAACTATCTCAGAGGATTTTGGTGCTGGGAAGATTACAAAAACAGGGAACGGTGAGGTTAACTGTAACAGCATACATCAGACAAAGTCATTGAACAACTTTATAATCAGTCTTTGATGGGATGGCACGGTGACTCAGTAGTTAGCACTGCTGTCTCACAGTGCCAGGGACTTGGGCTCGATTCCAGCCTCAGGTGACTGTCTCTCTGTGTCTGCTCCAGGTGCTCCAGTTTCCTCCCACAGTCCAAAGATATGCAGGTTAGATGGATTGGCCATGCTAAATTTCTCATAGTGTGCAAGGATATGCAGGCTAGGTTGGTTAGCCAACCATGGGAAATGCGGGGTTAAAGGGACAGGGTAGGGAAGTGGGTCTTGGTGAGAGGGTCGGTGGAGGCTTAATAGGCCGAATGGCCTGCTTCCACACTGTAGGGGTTCTATGATTAAATGCTTGCCATAATCCACATTCTGATGCTGATAATAGTCCTGATAAATTGAGTCGCTGTCAGATCGTCACATGGTCTTTGTTTCAAATTGCCAAACTACAAATCCTCTTTGTTATACCCTGTAAAAGATGTATAAAAAAGGTCTTCACCATAGGTACAGGCTATAAATTCAGAATATAAAATTTGAGCTCCTATGGAATCTTTTTTCTCTCATTTGCTTAAACACATTCAATTCCACCCTCGGGCGACTGTCTGTGTGGAGTTTGCACATTCTCCCCGTGTCTGCGTGGGTTTCCTCCGGGTGCGCCGGTTTCCTCCCTCAGGCCAAAGATGTGCAGGCGAGGTGAATTGTTCATGCTAAATTGCCCGTAGTGTTCAAGGATGTCTATATTATGTGGGTTTATAGGGGAATGGGTCTGGATGGGATACTCTGTGGGTCGGTGTGGACTTGTTGGGCCGAAGGGCCTGTTTCTACAGTGTAGGGATTCTATGATTCTATGATGAATCATCAAGTAATTTGCAATGTCATATGTCAATATTCCAATAATACTATATAGTGGACAAGAGTGAGAACTAAACAATGCAATTCTGCTAGAATGGAAAGTTTACTTCCACTGGACACGAACGTATTTGGAATTGGCTGTAATAAACATGCAATTTACCATCTGTAGATTCCAGCTACAGTATATTGATGGCCTAATCTACACAGGAACCTAATTCAAGCCCCACTAAAGCTTTCCACTCAATAGGGATGGATGCAGCCATTGGTCTGATATGGGAACTGCCCGGGTAAAGTAACTAAATTCTTTTAAGAAACCAGTGGGTGCTGAAATTAACTAATGCCTAAATGATGTGAGTAGTCAATGAATGTATTTGCACCACTTGTTTCCAATTACCTCCCTCTTCATCTATTTATATCTATTACCTTGTTAGGCCCAAGAGGAATAGGAGACATCTGACAGATTTGCAAGCCATGAGGCTTTTAATGTGCGTTTTTAAATGTATGCTGGTGTAAGAGGGCCTAAAAATGCCTGTTGCCACAGACAACCATTTACTATAGCAAACATGTGCCACAAGAACGCTACAAATTCCTTCTGCACATTATGCAATAAAGCCCTTGACACCACCACTCCACCCTGTCGTCTTTCCTTTGAGAAGTTTATGTTCCAATTTAAATGAAGACTCTTGTCTTCTTACACTGGATCCTTTTAATAGCCAACTCAGGTACAGGCTCTTTATATTTCAGTTCAGGTTGTGGCTTCTTAATGCTACCCTTGAGTAATCATGAGAAAACAGATGAAATGTCCATCAGCTTCTCTACTTCATTCAGAGAACCAGTGCTAGTCTGGAGTGATATTTCATTCAAATCAAATACGCCACGTTCAAACCTGGCACAAGTCAACAGTATAGATGTCAAGAGCTTCTAGGTGCTACATGAACAGCTGAAAACTTGTTGGGCCTAACAAGGCAATAAATGTAAACAGATGAAGAGGGTTGTAAATGGAAACAAGTAGCACATACACATCCATTGACTATTCACATCACTTAAATGTTAGTTAACTTTTATTCAGCAAACTGAGGGAGTCCAGCCTACAGAGTATTCAATGCAAGCCAGTACTATCCTTCTAAGAATTCAACATTGATCAGAATCACTCAAAATGGGTTGGCATCTTCGGAGATGCTTCTCCACTTTGGGTGGTCTTTCCCAGAGTTAGTTAAGATATTGTGTTGTTTCAGGTAGGCTTTGAAGGCAACCTTGAAGAATTGCCTCTGCCTTCCTGGTAACCACTTGCCTTGATATAATTCAGAGCTGAAATCTGGCTTTGGGAAGCTTATGCCAAGCATGCAGACAATGTGGCCTTCCCAGCAGCTGATTGATAATAGCAGTGCCTCAACGCTCAAGACGTGGTCCAAGAGAGGATGTTAGAACACCTATGGATTTGCAAGATTTTACAGAGGCATTGCTGGTGATATTTCTCAAAGGGTTTGAGATGTCTGCTGCATATTGCCCATATCTTTGATGCGTACAGAAGACTGGCAACAATGTTCCCTTGTAGACCATGAGGTTGGTCTCTGGATTACTGGAACTAAGTGGAAGTTCCTCTCCAGGCAAATGGATCAACAGCTTTACACTAAAGTGAATCATTCCAATGGACAACCTGTAATAGCATTGGGGTTGGTCGCCACCAAACAAACTAAAAGCTGCGAAAAAAAAAATCCTGCAAGGAGACCACAGTATGTTCAAGAAAATTAATATTAATGGGGGTAATGGAAAGGAAACAGCTGGAGATATGGAGAGACTAAAAGCACACATTGAATGTACAAGAATACTAAACCTTTCGGACTGCAGGGAAGAGCCATAGCCAAGTTCCTAGATACACAACAAAAACAAAGTTGCTGGAAAAGCTCAGCAGGTCTGGCAGCATCTGTGAAGGAGAAACCAGAGTTAATGTTTCAGATCCAGTGACCCTTCCTCAGAACTACATACACAAGCTTTGCTGTTGAGTTCTAAACTGTTTCTCTTCGATCCCTCCACCTCCCATAACCGCATTTCAACTGTCCTCATTCTGCAAATTAAAGCAGGTAACTTGCCGCATGAGATGCAAGTGAGGCCTCAAAGAAAAAGCAACTGACACACAAATGCCAACACAACAGTACATACAAGGTTACCTGGTTTAGTTAGCTGTTAAAGTAATATCAGAATTCAATTATTGCATTAACTCTTTTTGTGATTTAATTGTAACTGATTTGGATTAGCCATGTTTTTACTGCAATACTGAAGTGCAGGCTTGCTGGCACACTAGTGGTACTTACCCTGTGGGATATGTGGGACAGGGGATCTGCGGGACAGGGGATCTGCGATCGTGACAGGAGCCAAGGGTCAACATCTCCTGATCCACAAGCTGTGCTGGAAGAGGCACTCTTGTCAGTCAGGGAAACCCCATGTCAATTTTCTGGCAAGATAGTGGCAGGGTAAGTTGCTCCAATAGGAGCTCCACACTGCTCCCCAGTTTTCCTTCTCTTTCTTTCTCCATCCTTCCTTATTTTTCCTCCCTTCTTCTCTCTCCCTCTATAGTAATTCTATTCCCCACCCTTTTAACTACTTAACTAAGGAGTCAGGAAGGAGCCAGGTCTCTACCGAGAACCACATGGCAGGAGCTGTACGCGTGGTTTGTGTCCTGCAGCGACAGCTGATCGAGTGTGGACCAGAGCGACGGCAGCGGATCTAAAATGGGATGGCGAGAGCAGGCCAGTAAGGTAGCCGAGAGTAAGCCTGTGAGGCAGTTTCTCAATGGCGAGGGCTGGAAAATCCTGAGTGAGACTACCGCAGTGGAAAGGCAAGTTGGACACACTCTCCAGTTATTTTTTCTTTCTTACCTTATTCTAATTTAATGTGAATGGCACCATGTATGTATGGCGAAGGTACACAATTCTCACTCTACTTTTAACCTGAATATACATGACAATAAATCATTCAAAAATGAAATGATTCGAAAAATTGCAGGATACAAGCAAACCAAAACAGGGGACTAGTGAGATACATCTGAAGTACTGTGCACATGTTTGGAGTTATGTTTATGATACAAATGCATTAAGAGCAGTTCACTGAAAGTTTACAACACTCATACCCAGAACGTGCAGTTTGTCTCATGAGGAAAGGTTGGACAAGCCAGGCTTGCATCTGCTGGGGCTTAGAAGAATCAGAAGCAACTTCAGTGATACATACAAAACCCTGAAAAGGTCTTGACAGGGTGGATGTGCAAAAGGGGAAAAAAAAAAATCATCGATCGGTCGAGAACTGGGGGTCACTGTTTAAAATTAAGTGGTGACCCATTTAAAACAGGTAAGGAGAATTACATTTGGTGGTTTCTAGATAGATTTTCAGTCAGAAGAGGGTTAAAAGCTTAACATGGCTTGTTGGGAAGGTAAATTTGAGAATACAATCAAATCATCCAGGCTCTTGCTCTTACTAAATGACTCAAGTGGCTGAATTGTCTACTCCTGTTCTTTGTTTGCATGTAACAAACTTAATACTGCAACTCTTAATGACGCTCTTTCTTCTTATTTGATACATCCAACCACTTACGAGGAGGGGTTAAAGTTAAGACGATGATCCGTATGTACCTGTGGCACAGGTGTTTTACTTATCCACAAGTATAGGGTAGTATCAATGTGCCAGGTTTGGAAAGCAAACGTGTCTCAGTGCTATCTATTCTCTTTATACTCCTGCATGAACTTTACTGGGATTTTCACACTGTACCCAGTGAAAAGGGTATAGTGCTAAAGGTCAAAGAAAGAAATCATTCTTACAACAGCAGCATTGAAAAAAAACTCACAAATGAAAAATACAAGATGACCCCCTTTTTTGGATCTCGTTCGGTGTGTGAGTCAGAGAAGTAATTTATATTTCAAAAACTGGCATGAAGTCTTGTTTTATAGCCAAGTTTCAATGCTCTGCTTCATCGGATGTCCTTCTAGGGTGGTTAGTTCACAAGTACTTCATCAAGCCAGTGAATAAAACTAAACATGGACCTTAAAAGGGAGGGCAGCCAAACAGTAAAAGAAGAACAAAACAGCGCTCATCGTGCTTATTCCAGTTAGTATTTAAACCACAAGCAATCACCACCTTGGAATTTCTCTGTCTGGCCTTCTTCCTTGGCTTCAAACTAACCATTAGTCTTGTTTGAATCAATGACTGACTTATTTTTACAAGATGGACACTGCAGCATAACTTATTCCATCTCCATTGATTTAATCATGTAGCAGGTCACAGGATTAACAGCACAGTGGTAATGTTACTGGGCTAGTGAGCCGGAAGCTCAGGCTAATGGCCCAGAGATCTGAGCACAACGCCCACTATGGCAACTGGTGGAATTTAAATTCAACAAGTTGACACTTTTGAAATTTTAAAAATGCTAGTCTTGTTTACTCTGAACCTGTCATTAAAACTCCATCTAGTTCACTAGCTTCCTTCAATATATCCAATCAGTTTTACATGTAACTGCAGATGCACTGCAAAACCAGCAGTTCTGAACCGCTCTCTGGATTGGCCAAACAACCAACTCAGTTGGATCAAATATAGCACTGAGGATGCAACCTACGGCATGTCATCTGCAGTTCAACATACAGCTCACCTTCTCAAGGGTAAGAAGGGTGATCATTAAATATAGGCCTCGCCAGCGACACCCACATCTTGACCAAATTTTTAACAATGCATAAAACAGATCAGGGTGAACTTCCCTTCCCCACGGAGCTACATTTGTCATTTACTGTGGATCTTCTCACAGCAGTAATTCCTCAGGTCACAAAGTCAGCATTAAGAGAATCAAAGCTTCAAATCTTAATCTAACATTGTGTAAAATAGTTCAAAGATTTCCAGCTACATCATCTCTAATCAATGGCAAGAGCCTAGAATTGTGATAAATAGCCAACAATAATTGTATTACACAGTTGTTTATCCAAGCGTGGGAGATAATCCCAATGTAAAATGAACTTGCAATTTGGAAGGTACCCAACTACTTCCTAGGAAGTGCCACATTCAGCTTAAAGTGTCATTCTTTCTCACAGCATAGTCTGAAATTTCCATCATTTTCAAAAGGAATTCACAGCTGGCTTTGTTCGTTGTAACTTTCCAAATTAATTCAGCATTTGGGATCTCGAAACTGGACACCGCATTCCAAAATGTGTGTCAGGAGCTGTCCAAAAAATGCTCAGATTGGGTGTTAACGCAACTGACTGACATCCTGTGCCATTTCAGAAATTTACAAGACTTTAGGAGGTTGACTGGGAGGAGGTGGGGTGTAGAGAAGAGAGAAACACAAAGAGCATAGAGTACACAGCTTATTTGTTTCAGGTGTATATTAATGAGAGACAAGTAAATCAGAAATGTAAAGAAATTACAGTATTGGAGACTTTCATATGAAGACTCTCACAATCCTCAAATACGAGAATGGGAGAAAAGGCAGACAGACAGATGGCGCACAACTGTGCATCAAAACTCCCTGGCAAACTGCAGACTCAAAGAAATGACAACACTCTGACCAAGCAGTATTAGTTTGCTAATCTAATATTAGCTTGAACTTTATACCTCATACCTCATAACTAGAGCCATAGGTTAATGGTGATCAATGAAAGGAAGAGAAGTACTGTATATATTTGTGTAAAGGTTGAATTTCTAAGTCAAAACTTTTAGTAAACAGGTAGGAGGTCAACATTTATCGGAGCATTTTTAAGGGGTCAAAGCCCGTTCTTTCCCAACATCTTATTTTCAGAGTTGCCAGGTCAGTGACTGTTCCCACTGTACTGTTGTGCAAAAGATATTTTACGGTACTTGTTGTTCCTTCTTGATTCTGTGTTGCCGGAAGGCAGGACTGCCGGGAAAGCAGTGTGCACCAGTGAGGTGGTAGCCTTGACATTGTGCTGTGCAGGTCAGTGCGCACTCAGCTGATGAGCCTCCTTCAATGCTAGAATGTTCTAGGAAAAGATCTGCGCCAGGGCATGTTGGTTGTAGATACAAAGAGTATGGATTATTTTGGCTAAAAGTTGAGGATTGACCTCTACACAAGATTGACAATCACAGGAGTTTATACCAAAATGAAAGAGGAAAAAGTGGAAACAGAACGATTGGCTTGGCCAAAATGAGAGCACTAACAAACTCAGTGAAAGCTCAAGCTTCAGATGGCAACAGAAACAAACTTTGCCATGTAAAAATCTGCAGATAAACGGAAAATAAACAGGAGATAGTAATAAGAAGTCAAGAGTCAAAGCTTCAATGGAGGGATAAGAATGTAGGTCAGGTACAGCAAGTGACAACTGTTGTCAAGAGTTTGATGACAGGTATACTGAGTTAAGTCTGCAAACTATTTTATGAAACTTCACTTTTAATCCAGCAGCCTGATGTTACATGATAAAAATGTTGCAAAATAACAAACTGACTGTCAAAACACAGAATAGAGGTTCATTGAATCAACAATCCCAGTAAACATTAAAATATTTCACAAAGCAAGGCCCACAAACCAAACAGAAGTTGTGCTTTTTTAATTATTATTAGTGGCTCTCCCTCTATGGATGCAGCAGTCAAAGGTACTAATCCCTGTTCTATTCTCAATCCATGAATCTTTAATGGCTAAAAGATCTTTATTGTGCAGGTGAACGTAACTATGATGCATACCTACCTCCTGTCAGTATGTAGCCTTTTCTGCCTCTCCAGAGGCGTGAGTCAATAATATACTGTGGCCAGCATATACTTCCTGGACTCATCAAATGCACTGATACTGTTGCTACACACTTGGAGAGGCAATAGGTCACTTGCTTGGCCCTATTCTTAGGCTCTTATCAGGGCAGTGTCAGGAATTCAGCCAGAGCAGCAAGTGGACCAGAACCCTGCCCAAATTTAACAAGGCTAGCGATATTGTTGGTGGGCAGCCAAGCCATGTTCCAGTTGTGCCAAAGTTGACTGGGGCATCTCATCACTATACAAAAAGTTCTGCAGTACATCAAAGTTTCATTTAAAAGGTTTGATGTCCATGGTCACACCGCAAATGGTATGATCTGAAATGAAACATATTCAATGGTAAATTCTAAACCCCATACAGCCTCTCTCTACACTGAATGCAGTGACGTACGTACATCCATCACCTAGTACACAAGGGATTCAAGAACTCCCAGTTGCCGGTCAGTAACATAAACTCGTCTACACTTCGAATGCAAACATGGATAAGGACACAATGGTCAGCACCCTGGGGTAAACAGATTCTGCCTGTTTTCACTGCTGCCTGTGCAACATTGGCATTATTGGATAACTTAGCACAAGAAATTTGAGCTCAATGTCACTAAGCAAATTGAAACAACAGCAAATTATTTGTAACTGGCCCAATGTAATTTCTATGAAGGGTTCTCACAAAGACCACTTCCTGAACTCCAACTGCAATTCCAATAACAACAAGTAATAAAGACAAATTATTAGAAATCTAAGAGATTCACAAAGAATACTGGAGAAATTCAGCAGGTCTGGCAGCATGTGGAGAGAGAAACAGAGTTAATGTTTTGAATTCAAAATGGCTCTTCTTTGGAACTCAGGGTTTAAATACAAAACAGCCAAAATCTCAATGAATAGTAGAATAAGCTCATGGGGCTGAATGGTTGCCATGGTTTCACCATATGCCATATCCTGATTCTAACTCATGTTCCCTGAACATTGAACGAGTAATCCAGAATAGCAGGCTAGTGGCATCACCACTATCCCACTGGAGTACTGTGATCTAATCTCGAATCAATTCAGAACTCCAATTCCTGGCTCAGTGGTAACATGAAAATCTGAGTCAGAAGACTGTGGATTTGACCTCTACTTCGGAGATTTCAGCACAAAATTTAGGACATTGAGGGACTGAAAGAGTGCCACGCTGTTAATATCGTACATTTGAGACATTAAGCCAAGGTGTTGTCTAACTTTTTTTTATTCGCTCATGAGACATGGGCATCACTGGCTGGCACAGCATTTATTATTCATCTTCACTTGGCCTTGAGAAGATGGTCAGCTGTCTTCATGAACCACTGCAGTCTCTTTGCTCTAGATAGACCCACAATGTCATTAAGGGCAGATTCCAGGATTCTGACCTAGCAACACTAAAGAAATCACAATATGTTTCCAAGTCAGGGTGGTGTGGGAGGTTGGAGGGAACCTTGCAGGTGCTAGTGTTTCATGTATCTGCTGATCTTGCCCTTCTAGGTGGTCATGGGTTTGGAAGGTACCATCCAAGGAACCTTCATGAATTTCTGCAGTGTATTTTGAAGATGGTACACACTGCTGTTTCGGAGCGTTAGTGCCACAGGGAGTGAATTGTT